GCTGCAAAGCGAAGGGGGGTATTAAGACTCCCTAGACTCTAGACCTCAACAAACCTTGTAACCGTAACCTTGTCAGCCTACCACACCTACACACAAACATGTACGTGCATGCACGCATATGCGCGCGCAGCGCATGGATGGATGTATGCGTGGATGGATGGATGGATGGATGGGTGGATGGATTGATGGATGGATGAATGGATGGATGTGTATACAGTAAGCTGAACTCAGTTGTGCTGCCGCTACTTTCTTCATGTATGTGCATACATATCATCTGATATATGTACATATACACATACATCTCTGCATTCTCTACGTACATGCGTCTGTGGGCGCATACCCTGAGCTTCACGTCTCTCGCCACTGTTCCAGATCATCCTGCGAAGTCAATGACCTGGTCCTCCTCTTGGATGCCTATGCGCGGACCCGCTGCCATGTCCGGGGTCCCACTTTTTCGTGCTGAACGCAGAGTGATGTTGTTTTCGATAGTTGCCACGTGTAGTAAGGGCATTTCGCGGACTTTTGGCGGTGGTGCTGGCTTGTGGATTCTACGCACCGGGCAAACACTGAAGCTCCTCAGGAGGGCATCAGCGTTAACCGTTCTTCTTCACGAGACTCTGAGAAATTCGCACAATCTGCAACAGGTATCGTCATGTCTGCAAAGGACGAAGTGGGACGTAGTTTGCCCAAATGTCCTTGCGTTTCTTGGCCTCGGTTCTCACTGGCGAGGTGCCCTCTGCCGTGGAGGCTGTCTTGCAGCAGACCGCACTCCGATTAGAGGAGCCCAGCACTCAGAGAGAGTAACAGGTTTTACCACTTCACGACGTCTTATTTGGACATGAACATTACTTGCAGAGCCGTTACTACGACTATCTACGACTGCTATTATGATCCATTATTGATTGCGGTTGTTCGAAAATTCAAGCCGAAGGCCTTGGGCATAGCAAGCAAAACTGAGTGGTGATAACAATTCGTACACTCTGACGAGAAGCCACGCCTGTACTCACTGGCAGTGCTTCGTGTTCATGGAAGCCCGTACACATGCGTGCGTACATGCACACTCTTCGTGTGTGTTATGCAAAAAAACACTAGGTGCAGATAGAACGCGGCTGTCTTGAAAGAATACCTCTATCACTGTCAGTCCATCAATGCTAAATGGGTGGGGTGTTTTTCTAGCTACGCCCAAGTTCTGCTTGCACAGTTGCAGCAATGCCAACAGTAATCATGAGCACCTGCGTCGGCACCTCAGGTTCAGTGCTTCGCAACTTTGCCTTCATGTCTCCTCGTTGGCCAGGCGCAGTCTTACAAGGTTTGCTTGGGGATGCGATAGCTAAGTAAGACAGGGATGTGAGCTCTTGCTGTTCATAGGTGTAGAGTAGGGTGAGGAAGAGAGAGAGGGAGAGAGAGGGAGAGAGAGAGAGGGCGGGAGAGAGCGGGAGAGAGAGCGAGAGAAAAAGAGAGAGAGAGAGAGAGAGAGAAAAAAAACAAGAAGGAGAGAGAGAGAGAGATGGTCAAAGAGATTTTTTGGGCAGCCGTAACAACCGGCTGATCTTGTGTTTGTTGCCGGGCTTGTTGCCGTCTCATCCGACGATAATCGTGGAATGATGGTTGTGATGCTGATAAGGATGATGCTGCCAGGCAGTGTTGTTCATGCTAACGTTACCAAAAGTCTGCTGAAGAGCTTTGCTTTGACATGGGTAAAGCTTCCATTTGTCCTTTCAGACACCTTTGGTAGCCGCTCGTGCAAGTCCATAACCTATGTGGAGCTGGCATGGGTTTGTTGCTTGGAGACTTCAACAGTTGGAGCCAGGTAGCGTCGAGCGCAATTTGTTCGGGCTTCAGACATGCCGGGATATGCGGGCAGGCATGTGAGATTCAGGTTTTGGCCGATCCGGTTTAGAACAGCTCTACAGGTTTAGGACCTTTACGCAGACACCGTTGTTGCTGTATTCTGATTTGAAAGTCAGTCTACTGCTTACAGGATCCGGGGAGCCGCTTTGGAAACTCTGCAGGCTCAACATCTGCAATGCCGCATGCTGAGCCCAACGCCGTGTATGCCTTCTTTCGGCCAGCGGGTATGGTGCTGTAGGCTCCAGGGCGTGTGCTTCCAGGGTTTTGGGAGGCTTGCAACGTGGGCGTGGCTTTGGTCGTCGAGGTTGCATGTGACACCAGGCACAGTGTCAAGATACTGGACCACGACCTGCGAAGCTTAGTATTGCCCCAGATTCTGATGCCCTCGTTTCTGGGATTGCCAATTGACTCCCGGTTACTTTCTTTTCCCTGATTTTGAATTTCTGATCTTAAGATCCTACAATTCCACATTAGGGCGGTAGGCAGCAAAAACAACAGGGTACTTCGTTCTCCCAGAAAGAGACAGTGCAGAGGAGCGGTCTGGCGGGCTTCGATGTGAGCATGACCGGGCATGAGCTTAGGGTTTTCAGCCGTTAGACTTGCTGTTGGGTGCCGTGCTTTGGGGTATTTTGGGCAGGTGGGTTCAGGGTTTTGGCTCAAAGCCCTTGCACATGGGTGCCAAGGAGCGACTTCTCACGAGCATTGCAGACAAGTTGGCTGAGGTCGGTCCCGGAAGACTCACCGGGGAGAACCCAAGAAAGGGTTTTGAGGAATTGAGGAACGTAGATACGTTGAGACGTTGAGACCCTTACCTGCATCGTTCCGGTGTTGTATGCTGTAGCTCGCTCCGCAGAACCATGACGTCTCTTGTTTGACCCATGTTGACTCCAACATCTGCCGGTGTCCGAGACTTCTTATGCAGCCCGACCTGACCTCAAGATACGTGCCAGCAGCATCCTGACATGTGAAGTTGCACGCCCTACATCCCTGAGCTACTGAACCGAGCATCCTTTTCTTTCGACATCACTGCTTCTTCGGATTCTTCCAGCAAGCGGGTCAAGAATTGCTCCGAACAGCAGAAGGATCACCCCTGGACATACGAGATTTAGCAGTGCAAACCTGGAGGTAGAAATCCACGAGGACGAGTCTGTGCTGCAGCTGAGGCTCCTTTCATTGCATCTGCATCTTCTTCTGAGTGTAACGGTAATGATTATGTGGACTACTCCCAGAGCTACGACGAAGGCTATTGTGATCATCGATCATTGCTTCCTTCCTCCGAATTGCTATGAGCCTGTTGCTCGAAGCCATATTCAAAGCAGCATTACTGCTGCTCTTGCAGTTGCAGCGGCAGCTCCAGCAGCAGCAGCAGCAACAACAACATAATACAATCACCATCATGTGCAGTATTACTGGTTTTTCCGACAACAGTGCCTTGTGCTGCTGTCAGTACGGCTGTTAATCTGACCGGTGTCCCTACTGCAAATCATCTGAAACTCCAAAATCGCGCAGTGCCTCCCCTCGCGCCTCAGATGCCGAAGGTCCCAGATCTTTAAATTTCTTCGGCCATGCAGCCCTTAGGTTTCACAAACCCCCTTAGACATGTCCTACAATTCTAGTTTTTTGTAAAATATAGAGGGTGCCTCAATAAGCAAACCATCCAAGGCCACCGTTCTCTGCGCGAGTGTCCACCTGAGAGGATCTGATATATCTGACATGCTCTCGGATTACGTAGATGGCCTGCGCATTGGGACTCGGAAGGTTTCTTGGATTGGGGCTTGGGCCTAGGTTTGTTCGGGCAACAGGTGTGAGACTTGGGGTATTCAGGTTCAGCAAGGCCTGAGCACGACAGCCTAGAGACCCGGCATGTCCTAAGCCCCGAAGCCCCTGATGCCAAGGACATCACTATGGCGGCTTACTCCTTCGCTCGACTGGGCAGCTCGGCAAGTGCTAGGGTTATGCGGAACTTGAGCTGGAGGCCGTAAGGCAATCTCCCTAACCCTACAGTGCCGAAGCCGAAACTGACGGGTTCGGGTTTTAGAGCTGAGCTAACGCTTCAGGGACTCCGGGATCATTCTTGCCTCAATCCCTTGGCATAGTGAGGAACTGGAAAGACTGCCCCGTGGAGCAGGTGATTAATGGGTGCCTGAGACATTTCTACATTCTGGACACTGATCCGAGGCCTGAGGTTGTGGTGATGCTTACTTAGAGGATGAACACCGAACTCGGGTGCCGGGGGGGGGGGAGGGGGTGGGAATTTGATGGTTTGTCTCCCTCCTCTCCCTCTGCTGGATCAGGGTGGGCATTAGACGTGAATCTGAATCTATGCCTAAAGTGGACCCTTCCCAAACGCCTCTGAGCCGTAGCTTGGCGCTGATCTTTCCTGCCCCCTGAGACTTCGACAGACCCTGGACCCTAAGCCTTGAACCGCATATTCTCAAGCCGTCTAAGCCCTGACCCCTTTAACTTTCAACCTTTATAGAACCCTTGCTTCTACTCTCAGAGTAACCTCCTCTCAGTAGCTTTGAATCTGAATTAGAAGCCCCGACCATCGTGCCTCAGGCCTGCGTGAACACGGGGTTTGGAGCACCCTGTCCAGGCCTGCTTCGTGTTCAGGGCATAGGGCTTTGGAGCTGTAGGTTTCGTGGCCTGCAGGAATTATAAGATGTTCAAGCGCTCCTGGACCCCCGGAGCCCTGAATCCCTGAGCCCCTTTAGCCTCGTAATGCTTTCCATGCCAAGGTTGCTATGTAAGGACGACACTGCTTTGTTTTTGTTGGATTGTTCTGGAACTTGGGGCTCAGCCAGGGTACGACTTTACAGTGCGTTGCTTGCAGGTAGGGTTCGCGAAGCATATGGTGTAGTTTGCTAGTAGTTTGGTTTTATGGTATGGTGTCGTGGGGTTTGGGAGTGGGTTCAGATAGCCTTGCACCTTGCTTGCCTGGGCTGCAGTTCATGTGCGCAGTGATGTCTGCTCCAGTTTCCTAGGCCTTCACTTTGTCTTTGTAGCAGGCAGAAACAGACAGCAGTCCCACGTGGAGCCTTCCGAGAATTGCTAGAAACCTCCATCACTGGCAATGTCAAGAAACCTCTCCACGAATCCGTCGTCATTGTCGAGCAGCCTCATGCTTCGCGACCCATCGTTCCTGTGCAATGCATCCGCAGTGTGAGACCGACGCTCGGCTATGCTCGGCTGCATGCTTTCGGTGGCCAGGTTTGATCTTGATCTTTCGTTCGCAGAGCTGTAACTAGCCTGCACAGCCATAGTAGCCAAGAAGAAGAAGGGTCTACAGATTGGGATTGCTTTGCCACTGATTCAGAAAGAGTCTTACTCTCAATTCGGCATGTCCCTTTCATGGCGATCTGGGGCCAGCTGATTTCGAGCAGTGTTGTTGCAAACAGGTTTAAGCACACGGAATTCAGGCCCGTCGTGACACTGCGCCCCGGAACCCAAAACGCCACATTTACTTCAGAAGCTCGCCAACCCGATCCAGCACTGTACGGCACCTTCTATCCGACACAGAACTCTTCCAAACTCGTCTGTTGGAGCTTACGCACCTTTCTGACGCCCACATGGGGGTTGGGGAGGAACTATTGGGGAGAGGGGGCATTCGGGTAGGGCCTGCCAATCGCGTTAAGGCGAAGACTTCCGAAGAGCATCCTGCGAGTGAGGCCGATGCTGGCGGGAACACTTAAAAGCAAGCGGTAATACTGTCGATCCCTTATAGTCCCAGTGTGGCTATACTAGAGTATACTTTAGAATATACCACCGACACCCTGTTCTAATCATGAAGGATGATTGTGGGGTTGCACAAGCGCTCGCGTTTCGCCTTGCGGGGGTGGTAGAGTTGTCGTTGATTTTCCGGGTTTGCTTGGCCTTGTGGCGCGTGCTTGTGTTTTCTGGTTTGCCTGGCCTCTTATGCTGACTGTTTCTAGATGTGTGGCCTCCCACAGATAGATAGCCTTTTCTGGTCTCAAAATGTTGGTCTTCTTCCCTCGCAGCCTGCCTTTTGCGAGGTTCTTCTTGACGGCTCCTTACACAGTTTCTGTGGTGTCTCGAAGTGTCGTCTGATTGGTCGACCTTCTAAGCTTGCTGTTAATATGAGAGTCTCAACAGCTAGTCATACTGTTCCTGAGTGTTCTTTCAAAATTATAACAGTTATTAGTATATAATATACCCCCCACCCTCAGCCCCTACACCTCGCAATTGTGGAGGCCTCTGCATTCGGCTTGTTGTGTTGTTTAGCGGCCTTTGAGCCGGCAAGGCCGACTATGATCTGGAAGACCCGCAGAGCTTGGCCGCATTCCTGAAGCATGCGGACATTCGTCTGGTCCGGGCGGAGTGCCTCGTTGCACATCGAGGTTAAGTGTTCGGGAAGTATCGTGGGTATTTGCCTTCTGCTATTCAGCCTTGGTTTCAGTGCTGCTGAGTTGTTGTGCTTAGTTGCACTGCAGGTTAATGTAGCAGAGTATAAGGTTCAGACCGCACAGGCCTTAGACCTTAAAGCCTCATGTCCACTTCAGCCGGTGATGTTATAAGGAAACCATAATATTGACTATAAAGTTGCCATAGTAATGAAGAAACCATACAATTTACATAGATCCCAGCTCGCCCCCGAGACGTTTGGGTGGCGCAGGTACTTGTACGAGCTGCGAAGCCAGAAGAGGCTGCTACCCCGACGCCAGGAAGCGGAGCGGGCCTCAGACCTGTTTGTGCCGGTGATACGGAGCATTTCATAGCATTTACAACTGGAACAGGATTTAATTCAATATATGAGGGTTGATCTAGACCCCGTCTCTTGACTTTGCTTTACAGAGGCGATTTATTCATATCGTCACTATTGAAATTTCCTTCGAAACATGGTGTGTGCACAAGAAAGCGCAAGCGCGAGCGCAAGGGCAATAAAATGTCTATACATATCAGAATATGTAACATAATCTAATCGATTGGGATTGAATGAAGTGTGGGGTGGGAAATTTTGCAACTTGCGGGGGACAAACCGGAGAAGGGAGGGCTGAGCCCACGTTAATGCCCTGCCCTGTGATTCGCCCTCTGCTCTGGCCTCTAGCTGTGCCCTGCGCCCTGCCCTGCCTTGTCTTGCCCCTTGCACCCTTGAAAAGAAAGCACGAGGAAGAAAGAAAGCGCCGTGTTCGGTCTGTCGTGGGGCCCTCTGCCGGCCTTGCTTTTGTGGGTGCCATAGATGCTCATGATGCTGCTTTCGGTTGCTGGGGCTGTCGTGTGCGGAAAGAAGAAAGAACCCTAAACCTCAGCCCCTCCCATTCCCGACCGTGGCTTGCGCTCCGAAACACGCCATGTGGGCAAAGTGGGAACGAGGGAAGCGGGTGTGCCTGCACGTGCCTTCCTAGCTCCATGCAAGCATCACTCCGGAACAGAACTCAACCCAGTGAGGGTTGGGCGCAACCCTACAAATTCGGCTCAAATTTGGCTCAAACCTCTGCGCTGAGGCTTGGTGAGAGAGTGCCAGGCGTGGGAAAGCTGTTTAGTTGACAATTGGGAAGGGAGGGCTGGGCCCCCTCTGCCCTGCCCTGCCCCGCCCAGAAATTGCAAAAGCTCCATTTCCTGCCCTGCCTCGCCCAGAAGTTGCAAAAGTGCCAGCTTGAGCTTTTCAACCCCAGAAAAGCTCAAAATTGAAATTCTGCAACTTGCGGGGGACACACGGGAAGGGAGGGCTGGGCCCCCTCTGCCCTGCCCTGTGGCCACTGCCCTGCTCTCTGCCTCAAGGCTGCCCTGCGCCCTGCCCTGCCCTGCCCTGCCCTGCCCCGCCCTGCCCCGCCCTGCGCACTCTCATGCACTGCCCTCCCCGATCGTTTCATATGGTTTTCGCTGTCAGTACAGAACCCACCAGTCCAAACACTCTGTTGAACTCAGCATAGCGGCGTTGAAAAACCCGCCATGGCAAAAATCATACGAAACAGTATGGACTTCCCAGCACTTCTGCCGGATGGATCATGCCTGGGTACTCAACATACCGTAGCTCATGATCATACAACATGCACGTATGCAAAAACTCGTGTGCGCGCAAGAAACGCGCAAGAGTGCGCAAGGGCGATCGCAAGGGGTATTAAATGGTCACTCGTCGGAACAATAATACCGATCAACCCCCATATCATGTTGTAGTTAGTAGTTCTGTAGAAATTACGTACTCGTATGGGGAGTAGATTCCGGGCGTATGCTTGAATTTGCTTGGTGCAGTTGAAGCTCCAAGCTCAGGAAGAGTGGGGCCTGGTGAGCCACGAGGAAGTGAGTAACTGGGCCGCCGGAGCCCGGGATGCGATGATCGTATCGATCTCACATGCCTGGGAAACCCGTGAGCACCCGGATCCCTGCGGCGACCAGTTGAGCCGGCTGGTGGACCACTTGTCTCTTTACGATCTTGCATACTATTCCGATATCTGGCTGTTTTACGACTACATCTCGCTTTTTCAGTTCGAGCGACAGACGCCCGCAGAAGAAGAGAGCTTCCGGCGGTCCATGAGCCACATGCATGTGCTCTACGCTCACGACTGCAGCTGGACCTTTCGACTGGAATCTCTCACCCCAGACGATGTTTGGGACGTGGCATTGAAGAACTCGGAGCATCTCGTGACAGTGTATGATGCGGCAAGCAAGACCGTGAGAGGCCGCCCCCTCAAGGAGCTGGTCGCCAACAACGTCCCTTACCGAAGTAGGGGGTGGTGCAAAGCGGAGGTGGAGTGGTCCTCGCGCAGAAGCAAGTCCGAACAGAATCAGTGGATCGACGCTCCTGAGTCAGAGGCTGGCGGCGGATGGGCCCAGCTGCAGGGCAAAGTCCCAATGACTCCGGAGCTTTTCGAAGAAGACATGAGGAAAGCCGACTTCACGCATCGAAACGATGCCGCGGCTGTGCTAGAGCTGCAGAAGAAGATCTTCCACCAGAAAGTATCGGAGTGTCAAAGAGCACTACGTGCAAATCTGCCGAAGGGCGAGTTGAGCCAGTTGGCCAAGGCTTTGATCCACTACAAGAAGCTCAAGGTCTTGCACCTCCGCAACATGGACGTGGGCGCAGCAGAGGCCGAGGAGTTTGCCAAGGCCAGGGCCTCGCATCCTTCCCCTGCCAAGAGAAGTGTCTTGAAAGCTGTGAGGTCCTAGCAGTGAACAGCACGATCACAACGCTTGAAATAAGTGTCGCTGGCTCCGCACGGGCTGAGTCTGAGTGCGGGGATTTCTGGAAGGCCGGATCGCAACATCAGCCACGTGATGTGACTCCGATGCTAGACAACTCTACTCTGTTGCTCCGATTCGTCAGGCCTTGGCGGAGATGTTGAAAAGCAATGCCACCATCACCTCCCTAAACCTCGGCTTCAACGGCATCGGGGACGACTCAATTAAGGCCTGCGCTCCTCCGAGAGGTCTTTGCAGTTAGATCCCAGCCCTTTTCCCTGTGAGGCTTTAGCTGAGGCATTGGCGACCAACGGCACCCTCACCAGTGTCGATCTCAGGGGTAACAACATCACCGGCGAGGGCTGCAAGGCCTGCGCCGCCCGAAGGAATTTTGAGCATGAGCCCAGTCCGTTCCCTGCCAGGGCTTGGCAAAGGCGTTGAAGAGTAATGGCAGCATCACCACACTCGACCTCAGACAGAATAACATCTTGTCTGGGGGCTTCAAGGCCGATCGGTCCCAACTACGCCTTTGCAGCTCGCATGCCCTGTTCTTTGCATGCTAGGCATTCGCGGAGGCATTGACCACTAATCGCACCATCACCACCATCAAGCTTGACTACAACGGCAGTGGCCGCGAGTGGCTTTTGGCCCGGGGCCCGGGCTAGATGATGAGGCTCTGCTGCTTGGTTTCATGTTTCCCGCCAGGAGCTGCAAGAGATCTTCAAGACCAGGAAAGAGTCCACAGGGCCCATTGACGAAGATGCTGCTGCAGCACAGTCCCATGCCTCGGCCTCAGCGCGTGGCGATGTGTTGCAAATTATGCGTGCTGCCGTGTTGCCTACTGGTAATGTGTTGCCAATGCACATCCTTCACTGGATTTGCTGCGACGGGCCTGCGTCTTGAGCAGCGTGACACCTGGAACTTCATGCTGAAACGAGGAAGACGCATCGAGGGGCTGCTAGCTTGGGAACTGTTGAGCTTTTGAATCGATTATCGGCTTGCCTATTGACAGTCTTTGGCACGCCGGGGTTGCAGCATGTGTTTCAGGGCTGACTGCTTCACAACTTCATTCAGTCTGGGATTATGGGACACTCATGAAGCCTTCGACATCATGAAGCTCCCGCTGAGAGCCCATGTCAACCCATGCGAGTGTCTGTAGCCAGCAACGTGCATGCCTGCCCTGCCGACCACATGCGAACCGCAAACTCAGCTGCTCGAGGTGTGGACCGGAGAAGTGCGCATCCAGGACGGCTGTTTCCGAAAAGTGCAAGTAACGGACATGCTCGGATGAACAGAGTTCCACATGCCAGACCCTCGCATCACGACTGAAGAGCAACAGTATCACTACCCGCCTGGGCCTGGAGTCCAACTTCTTCAATCAGCAGAGGATCGGAGTCGAGGGCATCAAGGCCTTTGTTCCTCAAGCGGATGTTGCAAATTAAAGACCCGGTTGGCTTTCCCTTCGAGGCATTACATCATTTGCCTGTGCTCTCTGAAGCACCGTATTCCTTGTGCAGTTTTTCTGTCTCACTTTTACAGACCCAGACTTCGGTCCGCATAGCACTTGCTCTGAAGACCAACCGCACCATCACCACAATCAGCCTCCAAAGGAACTTCGTGGAAGACGAGGGCTGCAAGGCCCTGCGGTGCGCAGGAGGTCTTTTCAGCTTGCATGCCCCGTCGCTTCCCTGCGAGGCTTTGGCTGACGCATTGGTGACCAACGGCACCCTCGTCAGCATCGACCTCGAATCTAATGACATCCGGGACGAGGGGTGCAAGGCCTGAGCTGTCCCGAACTCTTGGAAGCACGAGCCCGGTCCCTTGCTTGTGAGGCCTTGGCAGAAGCATTAAAGTCCAACAGCACCCTCGAAGCTCTCCACCTGCAGAAAAATTACATCCATACCGATGGCATCAAGGCCTTTGTTCCTCAAGCGATTTTGCAAATCGAAGACCCGGTTCGCTTTCCCTTCGAGGCATTGGCACTTGCTTTGAAGACCAACCGCACCATCACCAACATCAGCCTCAAAGGGAACCACATGGACGACGAGGGCTGCAAGGCCTTGCGCAGGGTCTTTTCAGCTTGCACGCCCCGTCGTGTCCCTGCGAGGCTTTGGCTGACGCATTGGTGACCAACACCCTCGTCAGCATCGACCTCGAATCTCATGACATCCAGCATCCGCTGCAAGGGACCGGGCGCGAGGCATTGGCACAATCAATGAAATCAAACACCACCCTCAAAGTTCTCTGCAGGTGGACTGTTTTCCTCAAGCGACAGCTTTCAATCCCGAACCTGTTGCCTGCCCTGCGAGGCCCTTGAGGAAGCTGTGAAGAGGAACCGCACCATCGCCATGATCAGCCTCGCAAACACGTTCTTTCCTTTGCGAGGCACTGAAATGAAAGATCTTTGAGCAGCGTTGTCATCGGCATGCCATAGAGTGGGACATACATTGTACCAGACGTGAGATGGCTGCCGGCTGTTGCCTGCAACCATGCCTTCGGCTCTTGCAGACCGTGGTGTGCGGCTGCCTGTGGGCAGCATGCAGCAAATGTCTGTGATTACGACAGCGTGGCAAAGTCCGCGTTGCAACTTTGGAGCTGTTGGCACAGCAATGCTGCATCTGCAGACTGCAGACAAAGCCCTGCCCGCAGCAGCCATCTACGTCCCCGAAGAACCCCACCTCATTCGATAGTAGTACTTCTCAGGTGGCTCATGGTTGCCGCAACCAGCCCCTAAACCCTACACCCTAAGCCTAAACCCTATAAACCCTAAACACCCAAGCCGCCAGCCAATGCCAGGGCCTCGAAGCCGGTGATGCGGCATTACACTGCCAAGGAGCTTCAGACGATGACTGCCGGGGCCTCTGCCGAGGCTTGCGGCGTTTTGGGGTCTCGGGCTGTCACGTTTTCGGGGTCTAGGATTCAGCGTGGGATTCCTAGCGTAGGATTTGTGGTTTTGGGCTATGGGCAGTTTGGATCGATCCATAAAGCGCATAAGCCCTGACCCACTTGTGGAGCATATAGGCTCTTATTATTATAGGTTTAGTTGAGTTTGGGGGTTCAGGATTTCGGACTGAGGCGAGCCTTTCGTCGTCGCCGTCTTCGTGTTCGGAAACCCGGAAACCCCCCAAGACACCCTCTCTCCTGAACCTTCACCTTTGCAACAAAATTATTATATGGGGCCTCAATAATTGCCTGTACTATTTTGCGGGTCTATTATTATTTATTATAGTAGTATATTATAGAGGACCCAAAACCCTATTCTAATTGTTAAGGCCTCAACATTAAACCCGTTGGTAAGCCGCCCTGGCGCCCGTCTGTGCCGAGCAAGGTCGCCTTGGCTCGCTCGCAGCACGCCGATCAGGGGATGCTCGACGACATCTCCGCCCAGGCTTGCCTCAATCTTCCCACACTATATCTCGGGATAGGAGAGCTTCACTCAAACTCAGTTTAGAAACCTTCACATGAGGTGGGGTTCGGGGTTCTCTAGGAATATTGCTGAGGCTAACATTTGCTTCGATTCATCAGATGCCGATGTTTTTCACCCCTGAGGTAGAAAAAAACAGAAATGCTGCAGAAAACAGAGAAACACGGTAGCGGTCGATTGACAGAAGCAAGAAGTCATGATGTAAAGACCAGTATCACAAGCAGTCGCGATAAGATCCGTGAGAATCAATGGATCGACTGTCAACGTATGTCAACTTCTTCAATTCTGGATGCAGTCCTAGCATGCTCTCGCCCTAGCCATCCAAGGTGACTCATTTCTGTACCAAGCTCCAGCCCTAACTTTCCAAACACTATGCCCCAAGACTCCAAACGTCACCTTCCACGCCGAAATCTTATGTCCATCGTTAGATTGTTCTGCGCCGCTCCATAATTTTGGCGTTACGACTACGGGCTTCGAATGCTAGGGAGGCGCCTGGATTCAGAAATCAACCTACAGGCTCAACGTCGCATCGCCCAGTTCAGTGCAGAGCCGCTTGCGCTGCTGTTGCGAGGCCCAAAAGCCTTCCAGTTGTTGTGTCTGATAAATTCGGCTGATCATCATGCTCGTGTGCCTGTTTAACCTCTGACATCTGGTTTTGTGCACGCTCATTGAGACTATGATCTGATATCAATCATTGAATCGGGGACCTTGAGGTCTGTGGGGTTTAGGGCTTTGCAGGCTTCAAAATCGTTGGTAATACCGGCTTTGGAAGCTACGGCTTGTCCAGCTCCAAGAAAAACCTAGCCTTCAATCCTCAGTTTTACGTACCAGAGGCACTGCAAGGACTTGGCACCGATGGTTCTTGTTGGACCGGGTTTTGACGAGCTCAGGCGTTTAAGGGTTTACTTCTAGGGGTGCTGTAGAGACTCAGGAGTTGAACTCCCAGAGCCTTACAGGTTCCAACCAGTGCGAAGCCTTTTCCATCCGAGCCATACGGCCCCCAAAGCCTCAATCCGAATCTCGACGCCGCCAAGCATGCCGCTGCCTGAG